AAACAAAACCCATCTAGTTGTTGCCTACGGGAGACACATTTCACCAACAAGGATCAGCAGAAACTATATTTTATGGATCTTGATGCTTTTGTTTTAGTTTTATTTCTTCAAAACACTTTCTCATTAAATTCTTCATTGACTCATAGATCATATGGTAGCATTATTGAGCTGTTGGTTTTCTTTTTATTTCTCCAGCGACACAGTAGTCATTCAGTAGCATGTTATTTGACTTTATGGTGTTCTAAATTTCTATTTTTCTTCCTGTTAATTCTTTCATGGCTTTTCGTTTAAGAGGATGTATAGTAACTGTGTAATGGAGACTATCATATCCAGATGTGAGGACGCAGTATGCATCCTCTACTTCCAGATCAAAAATGCAGTATGCATCTCTCAATGCAGTATGCATCTCTACTTCCAGATCAAAAATGGACTCCTAATGAAACTGTTAAACATATCTTGACAATAGGATATAGGATGCTGGTCTCTCTGCCATTGTCATGCCTGTAATGATGGCCTTACAACTGTTCACGACGAACTATACTGTTGTAATAATAGAGGACAACTCAGTGGGAGGTGATTTGGGGAGGAGGTAAGGGAAATCCCAGGGCTTATATAACTGTATCATAAAATGATAATAATAATAAAAATTGGGAAAAAATGAAAAAAGATGGCAGTTATAGAAAAAGCACACAAAACATGGAGACAGAAAACCACAGGGCATATTTGAGCCAGTAGTTTGGCTAAAAGTGTGTAATGCAAATGAGTGTTTGCTGAAAGTTTTTTTTTTTTTTGTATTATCCAAAAATTACTGGAAGCCATTGTTTTGGGATTAGCTCCTATACCAAGTCCCCACAGATCAGACCAAATAAAAATGGAGTCACTCACACTTTAAGAAAAACAAGGAACTAGACCCCAAAACATATCAACTTCTGGAAACAGGGCATTTTAGTCTGAGACAGCATAACTGAGGAGTATCCTCCATGTTAACCTCTACAAAAAATAAATTGAAGTAATCTGAAGTGAAAAGTTGTTTTTCTGGAGTTTTTTTTTTTTTTTGACATTTTTCTATTGGTTTGTTCTCTTTCTTACCAAACACACTGTCAGAATACTGAACTTGTGACTGCTGCTGAAGGACCATCCTATTAGGGGAGAATGGAGAGGGAGGAAGGGAAGCTGAAGCGGAAAAGCTCAAACCTACAGAATGCTACCATGGACAATAATAGCTATTAAACAAACAAATTCACCACTCAAATGTGTTTTAGGCTTGGAAAGTTAGGAACCTCAATTTAGTTCAACAAAGAAGAATAACAACAAACCCCTGTTTTCCCATTGCTGGAGACTGTTCAGATTCATGACTACAATTTTAAGAGTCAACTGTCCTCCCTACGGAATTATATAAAACTCAAAATAAAGAAAAATTTTAAATATAAATAAAAAAGAGTCAATTGACCTACAACTAAATTTGTTGTCATTTTTCCTTTTGGAATCTTTACTTACATATATTAATTCTTCAAACTCAAATGTTTTTTATTTCACCCCTATGCTTTTTCTTTAGACTTTATTTTTAATTTTTATTGGAAAGTTAGATATACATAGAGGAGGAGAGACAGAGAGCAAGATCTTCTGTCCATTGGTTCACTCTCCAAGCAGCCACAATAGCCAGAGCTGAGCCAATCTGAAGCCAGCAGCCAGAAGCCTCTTCTGGGTCTCCCTCATGGGTGCAGAGTCACAAGGCTTTGGGCCATCCTCCACTGCTTTCCCAGGCCACAGGCAGGGAGCTGGATGGGAAGCAGGGCTGCCAGGATTAGAACTAGCACCCATATGGGACCCTGGCACGTGCAAGGTGAGGACTTCGGCGGCTAGGCTACCACACTGGGCCCATTCACCCCCTATTCTTTTATCTGCTCCAGTTCATATGTAAGTTACTGGCCAAGGACCAACTGTTATCACTCTTCCCCACCTCACAAACCATAAATTCATCCACTTCAGATTTTTGTCTGAATTTTTAAAAAATGGAAATAATGGTATGTGTCTTCCAACTTATATTATACTTGTGTCTACATAACAGCTTTTTTTTTTTTTACAACTAGAGCAACCAGCAATTTTCAAAATATCTAGTTATTACAGGACAAGAGAAAAAGCACTAATTGATTTTCATTACTTAATAACTCAAGTGACTCTCTTTTTGTAAGCTCAAAAGATATCCATTCTGAGATATGCATATAAGCATATAGGGCCAGTGTTTTGGCATCACAAATAAAGCTGCTATCTGCAACAAGGATCCATTTCTGATTCAGCTGCCAGCTAACAGTCTGGGCAAAGCAGTAGAAGGTGGACCAAGGGCTTGGGTCCCTGCCACCCACATGGCAGATAAAATTCCTGGCTCCTGGCTTCATGCTGGCCCAGCCCTGGCCACTGCAGTCTTTTGGGGAATAAATCAGCAGATGGAAGATCCATCTCCGCACCTCTCTCTAAATATGACTTTCAAATAAATAACAAATCTTGAAAAAAATGTATACTTCAGAAAAGGACCAGTAACCTGTATTATTAACCAAGGTGGTGAGCACAGCTTCCCAAGTAACGTGGATACCTATATTTTCTGCCACATTTAAAGCCTCCTTGAGCCTCTCACCAGTGACACCTCCCTTCCTTTTTCTTCCCAAGGAATTACAAACACCTGAGATCTAATTTACAAGAAGAGTGTGTGCTTAATTGGAAATTAGCGGCAGGCATGCTCAGATGGTAAAGGTTTATGTATCTGTGCCCCCTGCTATAGACTCAGGATGCCAAGAAAGCTACTCTGTCATCTTTTCTTCTGAATCCCCAGCCTAACAAAGTCTCCTAAAACTATCACCCTGTGTCGCTCTGCCCATTTATTAAACCAGTCTCTATCTATCCAGACTCAGCTCTTTACTATCTCACAGGCTGAAACCTTGTATCTCATCCACAACCTTCCTGGAACTGGAGGCTGGTCACCTTCCACACATAAAAGGATGTTAGAATTCTTTGTACTGCTGTTTGACAGAAAATACTGTAAAACAGGGAAAACGATGTTCATTTGAAAAACTGAGTTTTGTGGCACTGCTCATTAAGCCCCCTCCTGTGAGTTCAACATCCTATTCAAGTTCCAGGTGTTCCACCTGCAATCCTGAAACTCGCTGATGTGTCTGCAAAACCAGTGGAAGATAAAGATGGCCCAAGTGCTTGGTCTTCTGCTATATGTGGACACCCGGATGGAGTTCCAGTTCTGCTTTCAGGCTGGCCCAGCCTCCACCACTACGGCTATTTGGGAAGTTTACCAGTTGACAGAGGATCTCCTTCGCTGTTTCTCCCTATCATTCTGCCTTTTAATTAACAAATAATTGGAAAAAATAAAAAGTAAAAAATCAACTGAAAGCCACATGTAGTTACAAATGAAGGCTGGTATGCAGAACTAGACAAAGGCATATGAATTTCTGAGGCTTTGAAATACAGGTAACATTTGAAGCAACACAACTCATGGACTGAGTCAATTATGGATTGATATAGATGAACACAGGCAAACCTCAATTAAGGAATTAGAAGTTAAAAAATCCTGAAGATGACATAGGACAACCAACAACAATGTATCTGAAAGCCAAATGAGCAAAGAGATTCAAGGAAGAAAGTCATCTCCGGTATGAAAAATATGAATAGGTCAGATAGGAAAGCAAGGCCTGTACTTCTTTCCCCAGACACCAAATCATCCAAACCGAAATAGAGAAAAAGACACTACTTAGCACAAAAAGTGAAAAACCTGAAACTTTAATCAGTGTTACCTAAGAAAGGTGTTTCATCTATGCTATTCAGAGCAACACATCTTGCTGTCAATATCCATGTGAAACAAACTTTAAAGAAAAATATAATCTCAAAATGTGTGTTTTTATTTTTAATTTTGAGACTGACCCAGTCAGTGTTTCCTATGCATTGCAATTCTGACAACTGAAGACTTGGTGAAACTTTTTAAGCATCAAAACGGCTCAGAGTTACAGTTCACAGAAGACAACTAGCTTAAAGTTAGATTCATGGGTCCTCAATAAATTCTTGATTTAAATGTGGACCAGCTGCGCCTTACAGCGAGAAGAGGGCGTGAACGCCCTCCACGACGCTGACAGTTCCACGCCCCCTCGTAGTGGACTCAAGCACGGGACCCACGAGCTGGCCCTCACCGGTCTGGTAGATCCGTGAACCACCGCTTTTTCGAACCCTTAGCTTTAAAAAAGAAAAAAAATAATAATAAAAAGAAAAGTTCTCCTGCCCACGGGCCAGGGGCTCACCTGCGTCTGCAGAATGGAAGAAGCGCTGTTAAGGGCTGCCTCGGAGGGGACGTCCCAGCAAACTCCTCCACTCCTCACCCCACACTTAGGCTGGGACAGCCCCGGCAGGGCGCGGCGTGCTCGCCTCCAGTCCCGGGTCAGGAGACGCCGCCTCTCCTCAGGTACGGTCCTCCCGGTGGCTCCTGCCTCGTCGCCTAGCAACCGGAGAAGCTGTCGCCGGTTCCACACACGCCAAGTCTCTCCGCCCCTCCCGAGCAGAAATACTTTTTTTTAGAAAGACTATTTCCGGGTCGAGCCGGTTTTACGCAGCGGAAGGTCTCTTTGCCTCCCACTTTTGCCCTGAGGGGAGGATAACGTCCCAGCCGCACGCTTGTGGGGGATGTAGCTGAGGGGTTCGTCTCTCCTCCCCCGAGTTCCACACGCCTTCCCAGCCGCCAATTGCTGGGCGACATCAGATAAGCGTTTTCCCCGAGCGCAAACCCTCCGCTCGTGCCCGTCGTCCAATCACAGCGCCTCGTTCTGGGGGACTATTTTGCAGTCGTCCCAGAGCGCAGGGAGATGGACGTGAAAAGACCTGTGATTGTGGGAAATGTAGTTCAGTGCAGGAAGGCGCTGCCTTGAGGTGGCGGCAGACTAGACCTGACGAAAACTACACCTCCCAGAGGGCACCGCGGTAAGGGTTGCTTTCTCTTGGCTGCCGGGCTCGTCCTCCCCGAGTCGGCAGCGCGATAGAGGTGACCTGGCTGCTTGAGGCTCGTTTTTGCAGGTGCTGAAATTGCTGAAATTGCTCGCGCAGTTCTCAGTCATGGTGAGTGTGCGCCCCCGGCCCTTGCCCACCTGTGGCCTTCGCACTGTGGTGTGGAGTTCCTTGGGTGACATTTGGGAGGCGGTTCTGCAGGGCAGTGTCCTTGGCGCCTTTTGGAAAAGCTTCGATTGGGTACCCAGAGATTGCAAAGGGGTTGATTTCCAACTTGGGGGGGCGGTGGAGGGGTTGTTGTCTCCGGAGGATTGAAGAGATCTGTGTCGGTGTCCATTCTGCCGCATGGCGGGGGCTCAAAATGCGAGGGTGCGGGTTTGCGGTTTGTTTTATTTTTTTTCCTCCATAAATGCTACGGAGTCCGATTAGTTCGAAGAGATTTGACAGGAGGGAGGAAGGTTGGGCTTTAGCCTTGTTTCCTCTGAAGCGCAAGGTGTCTTCAAGGGCTTTTCGCAGCCTCTGCAACCACGGGGCTCTGGACTTGTAAAGGTGGTGCGTGTCAGGTGCTTCTGCTTACCACCTCGGTTTTCGGGAGACGTGTTTCCGCCATTTCTAATTGCACAGAACGTTATTTAAAAGCCGGCCATTGATCTTTTGTAACGGCAGAACTTGTTGGCATCACTGGCCCGATAACTAGTACGGATGCTTGTTGGGTTTTTTTTTGTTTGTTTTTTTTTTTTACTGATCTGTGTGTTATGAATTCCAGAAACACCTCGCTTAAGTGTAACGTGGTCGCCTTGTCAGTGAAGATCTGCACACCTGCGTCTCCTTGTCTTGTCCCTGCTGAGAGGGGGAGGGGTGACTGGGGGAGGGAGCTCTGACGTAGGAATAATCTGCGCACTCCCTCAACTTGACATCTGCCACCCGAGAATTTGCTTAGGTGCTGGTATTTATACTTGAGGCTATTTTTCCTTTTCTATTTCACCGTAAGTAATAAGATGGATAATGAGTGTGGGGGAAATGAATGAATTAGAAATTTCCCATGACGTGAAAAGACAGGACATTACTCGTGTACCTTTGTAAGAAGACCAGTGGGGACGGCTACTAATTTTGTGGTCAAAACATTAAAATTAGGGTTCCTAGTTATTATGTTAGGTTACATAACTAGGTAAATTATAGTTTCAGCTGTGAAAGATCATTTTGACAAACCTGCCTACTTCAGATCTTAAAATTGAATTCATAGAGACCCAGAGAGAATGTGATTTGCTCAAGGTCATACAGGTTTGCACCAAGGAACTCCTCATTTTCCATTTTGCCAATTCAGTCTGAAAATTTTATTTTTAGTAACTAAGGTTCTAGATGAAGATAGCAATTCAAGAGTTTTTCCAGCAGTGTGGAATACCCAGTTGCTTTTATTCGCCAATTCAGTATATTGGGATTCTAAAATGGGAAGGAAATTTGGAAATTATTTCATCTAACCTGAAAATGCAGCCCAGGAGGTGGAATAATTTTTCCCAAGGTCACTAGGAGAACACTAGCCCATATTTGTTTTGCTGCACAGTTGACTAAGCCAGGTGTCACCCCTGGAAGGTCATTGGCACACACATAACAGAGTCTTGCCCATCAGGACGGGTGCTTCTGTGAATCTGCTAGAATTGACAGCAAACTGTCACATGACTCAGTCTTCTGGCCTCCTTCATAGGGTGTACGAACAATCACTGATTTCTAAAATAGCCATCTTTTATGAGCCAATTCCAAGCACATTTTATGTAGGCATGTATGTATTTTTAAGATGTGAATTCCTTGTTTGGGCCCATGAGAAATAACAGAAAGAATAAACTGAAGGAATATGAATGATGTCTTCTGTATTACAGGAGGATATGTAAATTAGAAAAATATATAAATGCTAAATCCTAACGGAAAAAAAGATAATACATGTATCTTTGTGGGAAAATGGGACACTTAATTTCAAGCTACACAGCTAAGACTTCAGCACGTTGGCAAAACAGAGCTTATATCTGCAGGAAGGTCATTAGTGCCCTGCCTAGAGCAAAGACAGTCCCTCTTGGATTTTGGCAGACTGCCCAGATATGTGAGCAAAGAATAGTAACCTGTGTCCACAGTGCAACATTGTGAAAAGTCAGCAGGCCTCTTCTACCCTCCTGCTTTTCTGAGGCAGTGTTGCAAAAGAGCTGTACGAAGGAAGTGCTTTCTTGGACTGTTTCATCATCAAACATTCCAGCTAGGCTTCAATACTTCTCTTAACAAGATGGAATGACCTACCTGTGAAAATAGTTTGTCCAAAGACACAGAAGAGAACTGCTAGGGTAGAATTAGCTGTTCATTAGTTATCCACAGCACCCTCACTAAAGAGTGTGAACACAGTTTTAGTAACTAACCTGCCTTCTGAAACTGACCTTTGGTAGCCACCCACCAGACGTTCTGGTAGGTTAAGCTTCATAGATCATAATAATAATCATTTCCCCCTTCATTCCTTACCTTAGATTGTATTACACTGAAGTAGTACCTGTTTAGATTTTTCTTTACACTTATCATCATTCATTCAGTAAATATTTTGGGGGCACTGTGAGGGTGCAAATTTGAGTCAAAGGCAGACAGCTGTCAAGGAGGCATTTGGAGTGGAATGTAACAAATATACTGAAAACCACAAGCTTTGAGGTCCTTTGGGACCAGTAATTACGGTACTAGCTACATATGTTAGTGATTTGCTGTTATCTCTGAATCCTTACAACTATACTATTTGTTAAACATTATTATGAAAGCATTCCAAAAAGTTCATGGAAGATGGAATTAAAAGTTTATTTTAGTGACAAAATTTTAAATCTATGCATATGAAGAACTTCATAAATTAAAATACAAATTTACAAAAGAAATTGTGCATGGATTTCAGTGGAATTTTTTTGGCACCAAAATAAGCATTTGGTTCCATTTTCCCATAAATTCTTTGAAGTATTTTTAAGCTAATTTCATTTTACTTTTGGAAAACAATACAGCAGGTTGAGTAACCCACCCAGAAACATCCAGCTGATGGATATGGAGCCAGAACTTAAAACCAGGAAGTCTGGCTCCAGAAACCAAGTCTTCAGTTCTATTCTTTGCTACCTCTGTAACCCTGTTTTAGGTTTGCTTATTCTCTTTATATAGTTCACTAATAGATTTCCTAGTTTAAAATATAGGACAAGGATTCAGTCAATCATATAATGTTAAATTAATAAGTCAAATGGAGATAATGGTTCTTCAGTTAATTGGTAAGACAATGTCATTAGAAGAAGTGACATAAATAGTTTTACTAAGTTTCCAGCCTTCTCAATTCAACTAAAAACAAATAAAACTTCTTTAAATGAAAAGCACGTTACAAATTAGCTTAACTTTCTTTAAATGACTCAGTCATAACTTTGTGTATCAGTTACTAGTTTTATCCATATGTGTATATTTTCTTTTTTAATTGAAGATTTACTTGTCTTTATTGCAAAGTCAGATAAATAGAGAGGAGGAGAGACAGAGAGGAAGATCTTCCGTCCGATGATTCACTCCCCAAGTGAGCGCAACGGCCGGTGCTATGCCAATCCAAAGCCAGGAGCCAGGAACCTCCTCCAGGTCTCCCATGCGGGTGCAGAGTCCCAAAGCTTTGGGCCATCCTCGACTGCTTTCCCAGGCCACAAGCAGGGAGCTGGATCGAAAGTAGAGCTGCTAGGATTAGAGCCAGCACCCATATGGGATCCCAATGCATTCCAGGCGAGGACTTTAGCTGCTAGGTCACCACGCCAGGCTCATGTGTATATTTTCTAGATCTGTCAAAATCTGTTATCCTGTGCCTGTGCTATAAATATTGTGTTCCTCCCTACTTACATTAAACAGTGATTCTTAGGCAAGGCATGATGGCCCAATTGGCTAACCCTCCCTTTATAAGCACAAGGATCCCATATGGGTGCCAGTTTGTGTCCCATTGCTCCATTTCCCATCCAGTTGCTTGCTTGTAGCCTGGGAAAGCAGTGGAGGCTAGGCTAAAACTTTGGAACCCTGCACACACTGGGAGACTCGGAGGAACCTCTTGGCCACTGGCTTCAGATCGGCTCTGCTCCAGCCTTTGTGGCCATTTGGGGAGTATACCAACAGATGAAAGATCTTGCTCTCTTTCTGTCTCTCCTCCTCTCTGTAAATCTGCAATCCAACTATTAGCATTTTCTTGTTTTTCTTTCTCCCTAAATAAAAGTTTATTTTTCCTCTTGCTGACAATTGTTGAACCACCATTATTTCATTAAACATTTTGAAGTAATTGGAAAATTTTAACCAGTGTTAACTCCTTAAGGCAAAGGTTTCTATTGAGTAGATGAGAGTAGGGGGCTACATAATTAGAATTTGAGAAGCTGCAGTGGCCAGGTAATGTTTGTATTACTGAGAAAACATCAACATGTAAGTCAAATGTTAGCACTGAAATATCCCAAAAAAGATGGGTGCGATCATGTAAGTAAATCTAGGATCACACTTTTAAATCCCTGAATGGCAAGAATTAAATAATATCACATAAATATAAAGCCCAGGGATACATGTTTATTAGTTACTTGCTTGAACAAGTCGTTAAGTTTTCGGGGCCAGTGTTGTGGCATACCCAATTAAGCTGCCACCTGTGATGCCGGCTTCCATTCTGAGTACCAGTTTGAGTCCCTGCTTTTTCCACTTCTAATCCAGGTGCTTGCTAATTTGAAAAAGCACTGGAAGGTGACCAAATGCTTGGGCCTCTGCAACCACATAGGAGACCCAGAAGGATTTGCAGGTCCTTGGCTTCATCCAGTTCCAATCATTGGTGGCCATTTGGGAGTGAACCAGTTGGTGAAAGAGTGGTGTCTTTCTCTCTCTGTCCTTCCCCTCTCCCTCTTGTTCTGCCTCTTCCTCTTTCTGGAACTCTGCCTTTCAGTGAATGAATCTTTAAAAAGGAAAAAGGCCACGAGGGGGAGGTTCTACTTAAGCCAAAGGCAAAGAGAATTTAATTTTTTTCAGAGTATGTGTGTTTTAAGCATTAAAAACCTGATTTTTTTTAAGGTAAAATTGCACTGTTTAATGAGATGTTAATGTATGTTTGTGTGTGTGTGTGTTTCATTGCAGTCTGAACCAGTCAGAGTCCTTGTAACTGGAGCAGCTGGTCAGATTGCATATTCACTGCTGTACAGTATTGGAAATGGATCTGTCTTTGGTAAAGACCAGGTAGGAGCAAGTATGTGTAAATCTAAAGTCCTTGGGATAATAATAGTGCTAATAAAGCCCTGTGTGTAGTTGGAGACAAGTTATAAAATGGTGAAGGAATGGGTCAGTCCCAATAAACATAATAGGCTCATTGCTGTGAATGGAAACTATTAAGCTGTTTATATATACCCCCTCTAGGCACTCAAACACCTTGCAAAGCAAAACTATGACACATAACTATTTGGTTGGCTTGGTGCCACTAGCACCAAGGAAGTTATCTCTAATGACATTAACTCTTTGGGAATGCTTGTAGGGGAAAAGATCGCTGAGTCTGCAGCTCCTTGTTCATGTATTATCTTTCTTACCAAAGGGTCAAATAGGAAATCATCCCAGTTCAAAGTATGTACTCCTAATCTAACCAGATTTGATGAACGTATATAAAATACTTTTCTAAAATTCATTTATTCATTAACTCGACCCATATGAAGTTCGTGATGCCAGATACTATACTTAGTGGCCCATAGATCGAAATCAAACCACATTAAAAGTAAGAGCAAGATATGGCTTGTTAAAATCCACTGATGATAATTCTCTTGTATACTAGTCCACTTTACATTACTTTAACTAAAATACCCTGCAGGAACTTCTTGGAGAAAGAAAAGGTAAGATTACAGGATCAGACAGCCCCTCAGGCTGACTGGTGGAAACGGACAACAGTGAGTGCGTGCCTGCAGACATAAATGCCTCATGCATCATTAGATTAGGCCTCCAATGTTAATCAGTCATTAATATGAAACCATCAAGAGTTTGTACATCTGTGAGTTTTGAAGAGACAAATCCTGGTCAACCCAGGGACCTTACTGTCTCTGTTAGTTAACCTTTGCTGGTTTTAAAACATTCTGTTTCTGAAAGCTTATTGTTAGACACATAAGCGAACTACTGTAAAATAAAACAGAAACAAAAACTACACAGAAGGACTTTATGGGACTAGATGATATAACCTACCCTGACAGGTACTACTTTTGCTGTTTGGCAGCCTATCATTCTTGTGTTACTGGATATCACTCCCATGATGGGTGTCCTGGATGGTGTCCTAATGGAACTGCAAGACTGCGCCCTTCCCCTCCTGAAAGGTGAGTTGGGAAGAACAGAAAGGATTAAAGTGTAGTTTATGTCTTATAAAAACTAAATTTTTGCTAATCTCTCACAACCAAATTATTTTGAAGAAATGTTTTATTTTGGAACTGTAGCCATTCAGTAAGCTGTATACCAAGAATAAATAATGGTAAAACTATGAAACAACCAGGGCCAGATGGATACTTGTTTTTCTTCAACATGGCTACATAACTAATCATACTGATTAAGGCCTACTCACCTGAGGTTTTGTTAGGTCACATTGCAAGGTATTGAGTGTTTTCTTTAATTATACCTTCATTGTGTTCGGTTTTCTCCCTGAGAATTAAATAATGATACTCTCCTAGAAGTTTACACAAAGCAAAATATGCACACATCTCAAGCCTTCCTCAAAAGTCACATATTTGTTCAATAAACATCTACTGTATTAAATCATTTGGTGTTAACGTAGTCCTGTGAAAGAATTCGTTACCTGGTATACTCTGCTGCTTCCCGCTCCTCACCTTCAGCTTTTTCCAAGGCAACTTTCTCCTTTTTTCCCCCCATTTGTTTTCCCTTCTCTGCCATATCAAATGGCCTCAGACTTCAGTTACCTTATCCTCTGGCACTTGTGACCATGACAGAGAAGGAAAGTTTTAGCAAATTAGAGTACACGAGTATGGTCAGGAAAAAAAAGGTAGATGATTTCCCCCTAACATTATTCCTGCATGTATTTAGCTGACACAGATTCAGTGATCTGAACACTACCAGTGAAAATGCTAAATCTTGGGGCTGGCACAGTGGCCTAATCCTCTGCCTGCAGTCTCTGCATCCCATATTGGCATTGGTTCTAGTCCCAGCTCCTCCACTTCTGATCCATCTCCCTGATTATGCACTGGGAGAGCAGCGGAGGATGGCTCCCCCTGCACCCATGTGGGAGACCCAGACAAGGCTCCTGGCTTCAGATCTGCTCAGCTGCAGCTGTTGTAGCCATTTGAGTAGTGGACCAGAAGATGGAAGATTCATTCTCTCTCTCGTTCTTCCTCTGCCACCTCTATCCCCCCCATCTTTCCCCCTCTCTATCCTTCCCCTTTCCTCCCTCCCTCCCTTTCTTTCCCTTCCCTCTCCCCTTCCCTCTCCCTTGTTCCCTAGCTCTCTTTCCCTCTGCCTTTCCCTGTCCCTTCTCCTCCCTATAAATCTTTCAGATAAAAATAAAACAAGCCTTTAAAAAAAAGAAAGAAAATGATTCATCTTGCTGTGGCATTGTACTATGTAAATCACTATATGCAATGCCAGCATCCCATATAAGTGCCAGGTGAACTCCACTCCTGATCTAACTTCATACTGATGCACCTGGGAAAGCAGCAGAAATAGCCCAGGCTTGAGCCCCTGCTGCCCATGTGAGAAATCCCAGTGGGGTTCCATGTTCCTGGCTTCAGTCTTGTCTCGCCCTGGCTGAAGTGCTGAGTCTTGGTCACAGCCTTTTTAATACAGTAAGTGCGAGAGGATAGTGATAGGCATTTTGTAATCAAAACGCAAGTGAGTGAACTCTGCACCAGCCTGGTCTAGAAGGATAGTCCCACTAGCCATTGATAGTAGCCAATGTGAAAATGAAATATCATAAAGTTGATCTCTTAGTATTATCCCTGGCATAATACTCCTCAGCAAAGATTTCCTAGTCTTTAATCTGTGATTGATATCCAAGACCTTAACATACTTGTAATTTAAAGGTTAGGTTAGCTTTTTTGTATTATTTATAGTAATTAGTATGAATAACCTATGTTACTTGGAAAGTTATCACGTTATACCTTGTATTATATAAAACATAAAAGCTGTAGAACTTTTAAAAAGTGGAATAATTGCTGGAATTGGAAAAGCAAAATAAATTGTTGACATTTCCTGCTGTAGCAGTTGTTAATATATTGTATTAGGCTCCTGAAATTGTATGTCAATGTGATATGTAAAAATAAACATTTGCTGCAAAATGAAAGAGTTAATGAGTAGATTCGGTATTAGAAAGAAAACTTGCAGTTTTGGTGTTTATGTAGCTCTGCACGTTTATTGTCATGTCCACAGATGTCATTGCAACCGACAAAGAAGAGGTTGCCTTCAAAGACCTGGATGTGGCCATCCTTGTGGGTTCCATGCCAAGAAGGGAGGGCATGGAGAGGAAAGATTTACTGAAAGCAAATGTGAAAATCTTCAAAAGCCAGGGCGCAGCCCTGGACAAATATGCAAAGAAGTCAGTTAAGGTAACCAACACTATATTCTACATGGTTTTTCATTATTAGCTTTTGAGATTTATACTTTCAGAATATAAATGGAAATAGAATCTACCCTGGCAACCCCCACCATTCTGTGCATGTCCCAGTACATACAGCTACAGAATTGTGCTTTATTTATTTTTTTTTTCCTGAGAGGTAGAAAATTGTATCAGAGATAACTGAAAATTTGATTTCCTAATATTGAGATACAGAAATTTAATCTTCCTTTTTTCTCCCTTCTGTTTTATTTTTAATTTTATGATAGGCTCTGGGATTTCCTTTACCCCCTCCCTGGGACACACTTAAATGATGGACTTAATGACACTAATGAAGGACTGTTCTACTGTAATAATACGGGGAAAATTGGCTGCAGGGAGGGATTTGGGGTAGGGAGTAGAAGAAATTTAATATTCTTAAGTTTATAAAGAACATACAGAACTGGTGCCTTTTTGTTGTGCAGGTGTATTTTTTCCAGCCATGGGGATTTGTGTATGTGATTGTGCAGGGAGATGTGTGTAAGGTGTGTGTGTTCTCAGCAGTGGGAGACGGTGAACTCTGAGTCTCAGATTTTCTATTAGTTTACTAGAACTGCATTGTCACAGAAAAAAGACTTGTGGATTGGTGATTTTGATACAGTTCAATGTCCTGATTTCAATCAAAGGTAAAACAAATTTTCAGAAGACTCTTTAAGTTGTTAATTATAATGTTCTATCTATGACACTAAATAAATGGCTGAAAATTTGCTCTCTGTAGTAATATAAAATAATAGAAATCCACAGATCTCTTGGTAAACGATTACAAGGTTAACAGCCTGCTTGGAAATGGTACTGTTTACATAGTTATTGTACCTCCACAAAGTGTCCTTTTTGAAGGAAATATTCCCTACGACTGGGGAATATTACTAATCCTAATCCTGAAGTATTTACAGGAAGTGGCATACCTTGTCTGCCACCCTTTCCCAAATGGACTCTTCCTCACCAGCTTTCTTCCCAACCTTGACCAAAAAAAAAAAAAAAAAGCTGGGGCAAGGGGCGAAGTGGGTAAGGAAGGAGCGGGGAAGGTGGAACAAATCTGATGATCTGCATAAAGGGAACATGGGAGTCATCTTACAGCATTTTTACAAATTTGATGCCGTTTCAGAATAACTGTCATTTTATTAAGGATTCTTCTAAATTAGTCGTATACACTTTCGTATTAGTCGTATAACCTGCCATATTTTTTCCCATTGACTGATTCAACAAATCTGGAAGGGAAGGAAGCGATCATTTGTGTGTAAGTTAGCAAACTGCCCAGGTAATTCTTAGAATTAGGCGTATTTGAAAAACATTAATTATAGAGACAAATTATTGTCCTGAAATAAAATACTCAGTTAGAACTTCTTTTCTAAAATGATTTTTATAGAAGAAGGAAAATGTCATGCATGAATCAAACCCAGGGACGGAGCCTTGGGTTACTTGGGTTTTTTAGTCAGCAGATAAATACTCTGCCTTTGTCTTGTCACCAAGCAAGCCATACACTTTACCTCCTGGAAGTAAGTGATTTTGCTGGCTCTGTTAAAACACTATTTTCAGTGGTGACTCCAAGCACTAACAAGGCACAAAAGGAAGATATAAAAGGGAAGAGAAAAGCATGCTACAAGCTACAATGGTAATTGTGTATATTTAACTGATACAAACTTGCTACATGCAAGAGCTGCCTGATACACATTTTTCAGTCAAATTCTAAGAGTGTGGGTAATGAGTGCTTGCAGTTAGTAACTCCTTGGTGCCTTACATCTGTCCTAGGTGATTGTGGTGGGAAACCCAGCGAACACCAATTGCCTGACTGCCTCCAAGTCAGCACCATCCATCCCCAAGGAGAACTTCAGTTGCCTCACTCGTTTGGATCACAATCGAGCTAAATCTCAGGTTAGAAACGTGACTTTTTAAAAATATTTATTTTTATTGGAAAGGCAGGTTTACAGAGAGAAGGAGAGACAGAGGGAAAGATCTTCCACCCACTGGTTCACTGACCAAATAGCCACAAGGGCCAGAGCTGAGTCGATCCAGAGCCAGAAGCTTCTTCCAAGTCTTTCACACAGGAGCAGGGTCCCGTCCTCTACTGCTTTCCCAGGCCACAAGCAGGGAGGTGGATGGGAAGTGGAGCAGCCAGGACACCAACCATTTCCCTTAGGGAGATCCCAGTGCATGCAAGGCAAGAATTGAGCCATTGAACCATCATTGCCAGGCCCTGGCTGCTCTATTTCTGGTCCAGTTCTCTATACTCATGCAGGAAACTTGGGAAAAGCTTCTGTCTCTTGGCTTCAACCTAGCCCAATCTGTGTCTGGAACCATTTGGGGAGTAAACCAGCGAAAGATTTCGCACTCTGGCACATTCTCTTTCTCTCTTTCTCTCTCGCCCTACCTTCAAATAAATAGTATTTATTTAAAAAAAAATTAGAAAGAAGTAAACAATAAAAAAAACTTACTTTTACAATAACTGGTACTGGAGCTGGTATCATGGGGCAGCAGATTAAGCCACCTCTTGTGTGGCTCACATCTGATACCACAATATCTGGTTAGAGTCCTACCTGTTCCATGTCTGATCCAGCTTACTGCTGATGCATCCTGCAAGACAGTAGATGATGGCTCCAGTATCATAGTCCCTGCCAATCACCTGGGATGCACAGATGGAATTGCAGGTTCATGGCTTTGGCCTGGTCCAGCCCTGGCTATTGCAAGCATTTGGGAAATGAACCAGTAGATCAATCAGTATCTCTGATTTTCAAGTAGATGAAAAATAAGCATCTAAAAAATAACTGATTTTATTTTATACTTGTTTTTATTAAGTAGGAAGCAACTACTCAATAAATTAAAAGTAAATTTTTAAATTGGTTACAAAGTCTTAATGTGAAGATTTATTTATTTGAAAGGCAATTTGACAGATGTTTCATCCACTGGTTTTCCTCCCCAAGTGCCAGAATTCCATCCAGGTGTCCCACGTGGGAAGCGGGCCCCCAAGCACTTGGGCCATCTTCCATGCCTTTCCAGGCACATTAGTAGGGTGCTGGATCTGCACCAGAACCACTGGGACTGTAACCTACACTCTGGCATAGACTGCTAGCACCACAAGTGCCTTGCGGCAGCACAACTCCCACCCCTAAATCTATCTTGTAAGGACCAGAGGCTGGGCTCCTTACTTCATTTTATTTCTAGTGGTATTTCAATTCCCAGCTTCGCACTTGTTAATGTTCTCTTGCTACAGTGGTTAAAAATCACCCCTGTAAATAATTCACACAACAATACTCAGTTTAATTTTGATTATTAACTTTACTTACCTCTTAGAGTCTTAGATAAATATTCCAAGGAGTTAACAACTTAAAAAAAAAAAAAACCCTAGAAGCCATGCCACTCATCTGAGCTGGGTTTCTAGGCTTTCTCTTATCTAACTATAATCCTGGTACACTTGGCAGTCATGTCATGAATCTTGTTCCTGGACATACCCTCTGCTTTTTCCTGACCATTCCTCCACCTCCTCCTCCACAAGTCATCACTGCGAGTGGGGTTTTCCCCCTGTACTTCTATGAGTGCTTTTTCTTGTTGTGAGACCTTTTATTTCAAGGACAGCTGTACTTTATAACCAAAAGCTAGTATGAGGTGGAAGTTGAAAATGTAAACTGTCTCTAAACTGAAGATTGATAACCTCTGTTTTTGATCGCCCAGTGAAACACAGAAGACTTTTACATTTCTTCAGCTTCTGTTGTAGGCCAACTGTTTACATGTAATTTTTCATTTAATTCTGAAAGCAGCTATGTGTGGTATCTGAGAAACTAGATGTCCAGAGAGGTCAGGGAACGTGTTGGCTTGGGAGGTCCACTTTCTAGCTGTGTGACCTTCAGAAAAGGGGTTCAAATTGTAAAATAGAATAATTGTCTCTTCCTCAAAGAGTTGTTATGGGAATTAAATGAGATAAGCTCCATTTTATCATAGTGTATTCCTCATACTCAAGTGTAATAACTATTCACATCTATTACTGTTATTGATTTTACTAAGAGATGTACAGCCTAATGTTGAAAACGGCCACACCTCAAGATACCTCCCTTAGCATTCCAGGTAATTTAGAAGGTCATGGAACAACAAGTTTAAAACTCAAATGCCGAGGCCAGGATTGTGACACAACAGGTTAAGCTGCCTCTCAGAATGCTGGTATCAGTTTTAAATGCCATTGTAAATCCAGCTCCTTGCCGATGTGCCTGGTAAAGCAGCAAGGGATAGTCCCCAAGTACTTGGGCCCTGGCCACCCACATAGGTGACCCAGATGGAGTTCTAGGCTCCTGACTCAATCCTGGCCCAACCCTTGCCATTGTGATCATTTAAGGAATGAACAGATATTCTGGGAGAAGCTCTTGGGCATGGCTTGGTGGCTGAGAAAGTGTGAGAACTTGAATGGCCACAGGCAGGAGATCTGGGTACTGTGGGCAGTTTCAAGGAAAAGATATAATGTGCTGCAGCTGTAGACTCTGAATTGCCAGATGATTACTTAGTTCCTACTAAGAGACAGGCAAAATGACAACACTGGTAACTGCCTTCTAAACTGTTTTACCTAAGGCTTGGTGGAGGCAAGCCCTGCAAAATTTAGTACCACTTCCAGAGTACTGCAGTGCGAGGAACTTTTCCTTAAGGTAACAGACATCTTGATGGAACCAAAAGGGAACAAAGAAGCTAGTTCATTCAGCTTTAACCATCTCTTTTGGCCCATATTCTGTGTTACAAATGTTTGGTGAGGAACTGTTTCAATACAATGAAAGCTATTAGGAAATTGTCAAAGGAATTTCTTTCTCTATATAGATATTGTTTAGTGAGAAAAATAGCAAACCAAAACACAGAGTTTTCCTACCAGAAAATGGTTACTAATCTTACACAATCTGCTTTGCACCCAGAGGTCTTAGCTACACAATGAATGTTTAGCGCTCTCCTATGTACTTGCATTTGCAAATCAGACCTCTGGTAAGGTAACTTAACATTGATACCAGTTAGCTGGTAGTAGGGAGAACAGAATTACCGAGGCTGCGGAATTAGTGGGGAGAAAATTAACAGATCCATTAGACAGACATGAACGTGTCAAAAGGAAGGAGGAGCTGTTTTCCTGGGTTGATTTAGACTTGCCCTGACATGAGTGACACCAGAAACTACATCTGTTGAGTGTAAAGTACCTAGCCTTTGCTGTTCTTACAGGATAGAATTAGTTTAAGGATCAAAGGAACAAGAGACAGTGGGCAACCAGAACAAAAGAAGTAAGGGGCGCCATAGAGGCCTGTTTGAAGAGGCCTAGAGGCACTTTGTGGTCACTGAACTTTGGAGTAGTTGAAGCTGACATTCAGGGCAGTTATTGGCTCTTAAGTTCTTAGTAGTAAGCATCTTAGATTACTTGCCCCAGGAGTAAATAGTAGGCATAGATGTTTGTAAGTATGTACATCTAGATATCTAACACTTTATTATAAAATAGGCATTGTGTTCCATGGTTTTGCCCACTTACATGCTAATGAAGGAGTCCTTAGCATATTCAGGGCAGACTAGGTTAAGCTGTGTTGTTCAGTAGGTTGGGTGTATTTTCTATTTAGGATGGATACATAACCCCATCATAACTTGAGGTGTGTCTGTATGTGCATGTAATATTTAAGCTCCTTCCTTCAGTTTCCTTTTCCATAAGATGAGAATAATCATACTTTAATAATATGAATCCCCTTTAACTCCAAAATTTCCTGTTGAGGTTTATCTGAGGATTAAATTGTTTATGGTGCACAACAAAGTTTTATCCTAAATGTGAAAAACTGTCTAAATATCTGAGTGTTCAAAAATGCTGAGGAGACATGTATGTAGATAAGCATTTATAAAACAAAGATCACATTGATATAATGAAGATATAAAAACCTTTTGTTTCATATTTGATTACTGTCCTGATAAATTCATGACACGATAGACTGCTCTCTGGTCTTAAGTGTCTACTCCATAGTGTTCAAAATCACTGTTTTTTAGCAGCAATAGGAAACGTCCACTCAATGAAATTTGTACAGTTTAATAAATCAGTATACCTCTTGTTTTCTCTAGTTTCAGAAGGGTTTTGTTTTGTTTTGTTTTGTTTATCATAAGAGCATTTGTTAAACAGGTAACAACCTTAAGTGAAAAGCATTTGTCTAAGTAATGTATTTTAAATTTAATTAGATTGCACTTAAACTTGGTGTGACTGCTGATAATGTAAAGAACGTCATCATCTGGGGAAACCATTCCTCAACTCAGTATCCAGATGTCAATCATGCCAAGGTGAAATTACAAGGGAAAGAAGTTGGTGTTTATGAAGCTGTGAAAGATGACAGCTGGCTCAAGGGAGAATTCATCACGGTAAGAAAAATTTAAGCCCTCTTTAACAGCCAGAAATAAAGGGCTCTTTAGGGGCACACTCCTCTACCAACCCAAATGTTTCTGCAGAGGGTTGAAAATGGGGAGTAGAGTGGGCTTGGAGAGCAGACCTTTTCTACTTACATTAATGACCGCATACTTTGTTTTCAAATCATACCAAGTCAGTTGTCCAAAACATTCTATTGTACAACAGTTGACGTTGGTTATCAAAGCAAGAAAAAAAACTAGGATATCTTCTTTTTAACCAGGATCCATTTCTTTGGAAGAAATATAGTCAATGTTTTAGGGGAATCTGTAGTTTCATCTTTTCAAAAAGAATTGTGCTTGTAATTGAATTAGGCTAATAAGGTCTATATAGAGTATGGCATGGTCTTGGAGGGGAAACATGAAGCTGTGGTTGCAGCCTTTCACCCCAGGATCAACTTGGAAGTGATAAAAATTTTTGCTAAGATGATGCAGTAACAGTGCTGACTGTCCCTGCCCAATCCCAGACCGTGCAACAGCGTGGTGCCGCTGTCATCAAGGCTCGAAAACTCTCCAGCGCAATGTCTGCCGCGAAAGCCATCGCTGACCACGTCAGGGACATCTGGTTTGGAACCCCAGAGGTGAGGACTCAGTGACTGGCACAGACTGCTCTTACTTCTGCCCTTTGCTATAAAATCAGAAGAGCGTAACCAGAGTGGTTAGACAGGGCCAATGCATTTTTCCAGTTCACTTGCCTACTAGCTGGGTAATTTCCAAAAAGTTACTTAACCTTTCTGAGTGTTTTGTCATGTTATTCAACATCCTCACACATGATTATGAGGAATAAATTAGACTGTATATGAAAAACACCTAACTTTATGCTTGACACATGATAGGGGAGATTTTTATTTTTTTCAAAAAAAAAGATTTATTTCTTTTTAAAAATCTATTATTTATTTGAAAGGCAGAATTAGAAAGGAGACAGAGATCTTCCATACTCTGGTTCACTCCCAAAATGCCCTCCACAGCCAGAGTTGGGCCAGTAGAGTGCTGGGTGTTTTCACCCCAGTCTTCCCACATGGTTGCAGGGGCTGCTTGGGCTTGGCTTGGTCCATCCTCAGCTATTTCCACAGGCATACCAGCAGGGAGCTAGGTAGAATTGAAGCAGCAGGCTCGGCACAGTGGCCTAGCAGCTGATGTCCTCAGCTTGAACGTGCCAGAATCCCATGTAGGCACCGGCTCTAGTCCCAGCAGCTCCACTTCCCATCCAGCTCCCTGCTTATAGCCTGGAAAAGCAGTCGAGGACGGCCCAAAGCCGACCCTGTACCCACGTGAGAGACCTGGAGGAGGTTCCTGGCTCCTGACTTTGGATAGGCACAGTACCGGCTATTGTGGTCACTGGGGGAGTGAACCATCGGATGGAGGAGCTTCCTCTCTGTCTCTCCTCCTCTCTGTAGATCTGCCTTTCCAATAAAAATATATAAACCTTTAACAACAACAAAAATTGAAGCAGCTGTGACTCAAACCAGTGACCATATGGGATGCTGGTGCCAAGAGGGACGGCTTTACCTGCTCTGCCATGGTGCTGGCTCTGTGATTGTTCTGTGTACAGTAATGAAGCTGTACACACAGTGAGAAAATATCCATCAGTTTAACTTTGTTAGTTCATCTGTAAGTTGGCTCTGTGTGAATCTTTATGCACCATGAAAATGTAAAACATTGTCATTTGCAGGGAGAGTTTGTGTCCATGGGTGTCATTTCTGATGGCAACTCCTATGGCATTCCAGACGACCTGCTCTACTCATTCCCTGTTGTAATCAAGGTAAGGGCTTCTGTGGTTAGTGCCTTCTATGAAAGTGCACGTTGTGCTTGGCTTTAAAACTGTCTCTGTCACATGCTTAGGTCATTGAAGATTGATCTGGAAAGCAACTTTCAGCTTTTCACGAGACACATCATGTTGTTATGCTTCTAATCCTGGGTCCCAGTAAACAGTGTTGTGCTTCTGAAAGAAGCAGGAAGCTTCAGTATTTTTTCCTCTGTAGTACAGTCATGCCAGTGTCAGTATTTAATCAAGTAGATTTGTGGTTTTTTGTTGTTTGTTTGTTTTGGGTGTTTTTTCTGAGTTTTTGTATTATCTGTTAAGATCTAGTTTTTAAAATTAACTTCTATAGGAGTGGACATTAAAACAGGTATACATGTAGTTGCAAATTCAAACGAGGTGTTGTTTATGCGAAGATCATTTCTAATTTAACGTACATCTCTTACTTGGGCTTGTTTTCAAACAGAATAAAACCTGGAAGTTTGTTGAAGGACTCCCTATTAATGATTTCTCCCGTGAGAAGATGGATCTTACCGCAAAGGAACTGGCAGAAGAAAAAGAAACTGCTTTTGAATTTCTTTCTTCTGCCTGACTAGGCCACCATGTCAATGTTACTAAATGCCCCAAAACTGAAGAAGCTAAATGTCGTCTTTAACTTTAGTACCAAATAATAATAATAATGATAATGTTATACTTAAATTACTTGAGAAAACCAACACATTGTAAAGATCATGTGCTTCTTGGTACAGATTTGTGAGTAACAGCCCATCATCATGCTGATAGCACTACAGTCTAAATAAAAATATATACTCAAGTGAAACTGACTCAGACTCTGATTTCTAATATGTAGCTATTAAGAAAACAAACCTACATATTTCCAAACTTAAGGAATTATAATTTTAAAAGTACAACAAAACAACATTGTTACAAGCTAACACATAAATCATTTATGTTAGAATAAGAAAATTTATCTTATGCTATGAATCAGCATAATGCAGTTTTTAAAGCAAACATTTTGGTACAGTTTTGGTTTTTTTAAAATATTATTTATTTACTTATTTAAATGCTGAATTATAAAAAGGAGAAAAACATATTTTCCATCTGCTGGATCATACCCCTAAATGCCTGCACCAGTTCTCCAACATGGCACAGAGGCATCCCAAGTGATGACTTAACCTATTGCCCACAGTGCCCACCCCTATATTTTGAAAATCTAAAGGGATAGCTCGTGCTTTTTGGATGATCTGATGGTGATGTTAGTTGCTGAGCACACTGCAGGCAATGTTAGCAGTTTTGTACCACTGAATGAAATGAGAAGTCATTTCCACAGTAAAAAAAACAATACTAAGTCTTCCCTCTGAGATATTCCTCTACAGTAGAATAAAGCAATGCCACAGAGACTTATGCTAATGTTACTGTTCTCAATCTGAGCTGACTATTCAAAAACAGTGTTGTTTAAGAATGTTTTTTCCCTAAAATCCTGAGGATAAGGAGGCATTGTCTGTCTTCTGTCCCTGTGCTTAACAAAACTGTAATAGATAATATAAATCTCAGTCCCTAGTGAGTGGTCTCAGTGCCTTTATGGACCCTCAAATATTTGTTACTTAAAATTACTTATATTTCATTTCACCACGAATGGAGGAAATGAACACATAAATTACAAGCAGAAAAAAATTTTATGCCAATGAAATTGAATATTATACTACAGATATGATACTATAAAAAATATTATCAAATGAACAAATGATTTCTTAAGACACCCATCAAAAAATCTCCAAGGAAACGGGCAGAGAAGAGGAAAAACTCAATTATCTTATCCAGCCTACAAAATTGAAAGTACTGCAAATGAGCATTATAGCATGGCAAGGAAAGCTGCTACCTGCAACACTGGCAGGTAGAAAACCTGCAGAAGATGGCTTAAGTATTTGCAGCATTGCTACCCATGTGAGAGACCCAGATGAAGCTCCTGACTCCAGCCTGGCTTGGACCTGACCTGTGGCCATCTGGGGAGTGAACCAGCGGGTGAAAAATTTCTCTCTGTCCCTATCTCACATTTTCAAATAAATAAGGCTTTATTTTTTTTTTTTGAGATTTATTTATATTGGAAAGATATACAGAGAGGAGATGGCAAAAAGCCAGGAGCTTCTTTCTGGTCTCCCATGCAGGTGCAGGGTCCCAAGGCTTTGGCCCATCCTCTACGGCTTTCCCAGGCCACATACAAGGAGCTGAATGGGAAGTAGGGCCACTGGGACACGAACTTGCACTCATATGGGATCCTGGTGCATGCAAAGTAAGGACTTTGACTACACTAGGCTATCGTGCCAGGCCCTAAACAAGTCTTAAAAACCAGATTAACTCATGCAACAAAAAGCAGGAGCTTTCATTTCATTCTCCCAAAGCCCTAAAAAGATGAGAAAGGGGATGGAAGACATAATTCCTAACCATCTCCTACTCCATGCTGCCAGCAAAGCAACACTAGCCCCAGACATAATCCTGTCCAAGAGATCCTGCTGCAAGTAAAATAAAAAGTGCTAAAAGATGTGTGGGCAATTGAGTAGTGAAGGGACTTTGCAGTATGCGTCTCTACTCCCAATAAAACTTAAATGTATCTGGACACTAGGCTGCTGGACTTCCTGCCATTGACTATACCTACAATGTCAGGATACACTTAAATAGCAGAATGATGGATTTATGACTGCTTATCAAGGAATATACTATTTTAATATAGGGGAAGACAGTGGGGAGAGGGCCGGAAGGGAAATCCCAGAGCCTATGGAACTGTATCATCAAATAAATTTTTAAAATACGTTTTTTTAAAAAATGAATCTTGTAAATGGTTTTAAAAGGGGGGACTTGGGCAGAGCAGCAGCATTATTCACTGTACTCTCCCACTTAATCTTACTGATCCCCAATAAAGCCTGGGTAAACTGATTTTGTGCTCAAAGTGCACATGATTGGGGCTCAGAATATAATTCTCCAAAGCATGATGCTTTGGCATCCCGAGTATTTGAAACCAAACAAGATACGAAGAACCTCAGAAGCAAGATCTCTTGCCATCATGTTTTTCCTCTCTTTTTTCCCAGCAGCGAGTCATAGAAGCCAGAATTCCTCTCCCAAAGGTGAGTCACAGAAACTGGAATTCCTCTCTCGCAAAGCAAGGTGTAAAACCTAGATAGGCGTTTATGTATGACTGCATCAGTGGTTAGAAGGTTCTGGCAATAATGGTTAAGTAAGATGCTCAGGAGATGAACCCCTCACAGATACACTAGTCTGAACACATGCCTATACCAAGTCACCATCACCTGTGGAGGCCAGGTGGGAGTTAACCTGCCTCACATCTCTCCCCAGCTCTAAGTAGCACAACATAGAGATTTCTATCACTTGCAAGAGGGAATATGAATATCGTTCAGGTCTTAAACTTGAAATCCAAGGCTGGCTTCCCCAACTTCTAGCTAACAGTGAAGCCAAGACTCCAGCCGCTGGAGAAGAAGATAGGAAACTTCAGACCTTGCCTTGGAGCTCAGAAGCAGCCACGCCTGTGTTTTCCAGTGCCCAATAAAGCACAAAGGCTTCAGGCCCATCTCAATAGCCTAGTGGCTAAATCCTCATCTTGCATGCGCCAGGATCCCATGTGGGTGCCAGTTTGATTCCCAGCTGCTCTACTTTCCATCCAACTCCCTACTTGTGGCCTGGGAAAGTAAGAGGTCTGCCCAAAACCTTGGGACCCTGCACCTGCTTAGGAGACCTCACAGAAGCTCCTGGCTCCTGCTTTTAGATTGGCCTCACTCCAGCTGCTGCCACCATTTGGATACTAAACTTGATCTTAGCCAAAAGGCCGAGAAGCGATACTGCAACCATTTGGGAAGTGAACCAGTGGATAGAAGATGTTTTGTTTCTCCTTCTCTCTGGAAATCTGCCTTTCCAATTAAAAAAAAAAAAAAAAAAAAAAGCCCAAAGGCTTTTACCCCAGCCCAGGACTCATCAATTGATTCTCCAGAGTTGCCTGGTGCTAACTGATAAAACACACTGGGCAGATACTATTGATCTACATCTCTTTGTAAGAAGGTCCATGAACAAAGCCTCTAGACTTACCCAAGCATCAGGCAAAGGCTGGCACCCTTGGCTTATTTCAGTATGTATCACTGACAACCTATCATGCAACTGATAAAATGGTGAGACTCAGGATATCCCAGCTTATTAGTATAACAAGAGTTGCCATGAGATTGCCTTTACCACACTTCTCCCATCCAAGGAACTTGGGGACAGCAAGGAACCATGGGACTGTGTTTTGTAGCTTAGTGCCGGACCAGGCTGGTAAAACCCAACACGAGGCAAACCCTAACAATCCCCATCCTGTCTCCAGTACTGGTGCACAGAGCCTCTGGACCTGCCCTAGTGACGAGTGTCACAGCTAGTCAGGGTCACTTGTGGCTGCTTGCAATGGCTCTGGGCTGTGAGTCTGCCCCAGCAGCAAACAGGACACATTAATGTAGGGTTTGGTTCTAACCCCTGCTGTGCAGGAGTGGTTGTGTTTCAGTGTGATTCAGCATTATGCTATTGGTGGTCAAAGGACTGGTTATTTGGACTTACCTCGGCTCCAGCTCTGAGTCTTACAGACTAATTCCTTTTGGATGCCATCCTAGTTCCTTCTGAATGGTACATTAACTGCAGATTTGGTGCAATGTAAACTCAGGGTGTCACTGAATCAAGTGACAGCAAACTTGTAACAATCCTCGACCTAGGGCGCCACCTGGTGTTGAAGTGCGGAAGTGTCCACAAGCTAAGAAAAAAAGCAGACATTTTAGATAAGCAGACATCTTACACAGACTGGAAAGACTTGAAAATTAACCATCATAAAAAGTAACCTCAGATTCAAGCATGCAAAGATCCCATCCCAATTTGTTCACCCAATTAAGGATGGGAAACAGGCCTCTTTTTGCCTCTGAACATACTGGGAAGTAAAACACAGACTTCCCTTCCTTTTTCTCTTTCCTCATAGACAATACTCTAGTCCACTCATGATAAATGTTTCTCTGTGTGGGTGGCCCACACTAGTGCCTGAATTAGTATGCTCTCTCTTTAAATTTAAACAAATTCTGTTCTCTCTTGTGCACTTAATGTATGCCTGTATTTTGGATTCGTATCTCTTTGGAGGGGAATAAAAATCTAAAGTAAAGAGTAAGCCATGTGAGTCCATATCAATATGATGTAATACAATAATTATATCAATAAAGATAGTCAATACAGAAAAACATAAAATGGAACACACAAAAAAAGGAAAAATACAAACTATTGCAACAAATGAAGTGAAAAGTACAAAGTTCTTTATCTATGCCCATATTGTAGCATAGCAGGTAAAGCTGCTGGCATGCCATGTGGGTGCCAGTTTGAGGCCTAGCTGCTCCACTTCCCATTTAGCCACCTGCTAATGTGCCTGGAAAAACTGTGGAAGATGGCCCAAGTGTTTGGGCACTGGCAATCATATGAAAGATCTGGAGGAAGCTGTGGGTTCCTGGATTCAAACTGGCCCAGATCTGGCCGTTGCAGCCATTTGGGGAATGAAACAGCAGATAAGTCAAACTACCTCTCTCTCTGTCTCTTTCTCACACACACACACATACACTCTTGTTCTTTTTGTAACAGTAACTTTCAATCTTTTATTAAGTTGTGTGTATTTATTTTTTTAGAAAATATTTATTTTATTTTTATTTGAAAGGCAAATTTACAGAGAGAAGACAGAGAAGTATTTTCCATCTGCTGGTTCACTCCCCAAATGGCTGCAACAACCAGAACTGAGCCAATCTGAAGGCAGGAGCTTCC